CATCGTACCTGACACATGCGCTTGGACAGGCAAGGCTTTCTCGTGAAGAACAACCAAAGCCCCAAAATCCCCTTCTAGAAGCCAATCAAATCCCCCCAGCTCCGGCCTACAAACCGATCAAATCCCTAGAGACCGGTCAAATTCCCGTTCCAAAAACCGGTCCAACTCCAAACATATCGCCTAGAAACCGGTCACACTTTCCTTAGAAACCAGGCAAATTCCCCTCTACAAATCCCTTCCGACAAGTGGTCATGTCCGTCGAGACCCCCCCTAGACACCAGTCAAATCAGTCAAATTGCCCTCCAGAACTCGTCAGTCATCTCCTTCCAGAAACCGGTTACATTCCTTGATTCTAGAAACTGTCCAGCTGCCTCAGTCCCTCTGAACGAGCACCATCTCATCTAGCTCATGGGATCTGACGCTGTGATGCCCGCTGCTAGCTTCACTGCGTCACTTGGCTTCACGACTCACCTTGCATCGCCACTGGACCTTGCCCCTGCGCAAGTTCAGCGCGCAACATGTGCTGGCACGACGCCAGCTTTTTGCGGGCTGGCCATCACTGTTCCTTCTTTCGCGTTGCTGACGCTGCGTGCTGGGCTTGACCGAGGCAAACAACGCGAAGCTTACAATAATTCACTCTACCCCGTTCTTCTGGGAGTGGTGATCCTTTTCTTGGATCCTGGTGGGATTGGCTATCAAACCCGTCCTGACCCCCAAGTCCGAAAAACGGGGCTGAGGGCACAGCATCCAGTCAAGGAATCTGTCTACACTCAGGTGATGGGTATTCAAATGCAACGTTTCCTTGGTTTGACTCCTTCAAACCGGGAAGACAAGTGCGCGACATATCACTTCCCTCACCAATGTAGAACTCGCCAGCAAGCCCCTTGCAAGGGAAAAATGCCTTCCACAAACCTCCAGCAAGGTTCATAGTGCTGGGAGCCGGAGACGCAGATTTGGAGGGCTCACGGTCCATCAACCTCGCAATCTTTACCTCAGCGAGTGCAGCAGTGGGGATGGGAAGCCTAGACCGACTACCAGCGGGCGCGAAAACAAATCTCCACATGATCCACATAGCGAATCGAAATAAAAACAAGGAAACGGGCAGCTGGATTGACACATTCCAAGCGAATGAGAACGAGGGGCAGTCTCTTTTGAGAGTGCTTGAATGCAGCCCTGCCGTCAGTGAGTTGTTTTGTCGCACATGTTTCAATGACCCTCACTGGCAGTTCAGATTGCATGGCTACATGTCTTTCATGTCAATGGCGCCGCGGGCGGGGGGACCTCACCAAATGGCAAATTAAACACACATTGCAAGTGCCTCAACGCAAGCTGTGTTGCATGATGTGAGATGCGGCAAGGGCTGATTGCCGTGAAGAACCGTCAGCTCAAGAAACAGCTTCGAAGCATTCCTGGGGCATGCGCGTGGAGTCCTGCATAGAGCAGCTATTTTCGAAAGCAAGAGGCACTGATATTATGCAAGCAATCAGTGCCTGTTGGATGCGTTTGAAACACAGCACGTTCAACCACTGCCTGTCTACCTACACACTTTGAGAACAAGTATATCACAGCATCTTTCAACATGGGCAAACCATTTCTTTCCAGAACCTGGCAGAAGAACACAACTGGGTTGAAAAAAACGCGGACAACCCTTCTATCCTTATGCCCTAGCATCGGTCGGTATCGTATTTTCCTCAGCATCGGTTGCAGTGCTTTGGCAGCTCTAGCTCGAAAGTCACGACTTTTCCATACAAGTATAGTATACGAAGTACACTTTGGCAGCTCCTGCTCGAAAGTCGCAGCTTTTCAGTGCAAGTAAGTGTAGTGTAGTTTGGTACACAAAATACATGTTGGCAGCTCCAGGAAAGGCCGCAGGGCAGCTGGTTGGATTCGGCATGGCGGCTAATGAGTCGGGCATCGGTTTGGGTATCGGTTTGGGCCCTGCAACTTTACGACTCCGCAATCTTGCTTTGCGTCAGCAACTTGGACCTGATGTGTGTCTTCATGGCTTCTGGAGGTAGCTTTTTTTTCCTCAGTATCGGTTTACAACGGTTTTGGACTGCTGCAAAACAAGTTAAGGGACGGCCCCTGACATAACCAAAAGGCGCTTTATTTTTCCAGCCCAATTGATCCTGGGCTCTGGGGACCTCGATGTCTCTCCAAGTGCCGAGCGCGTGAGGAAGCAGCCCGCAGCGAAGAGCATCAGTGCCAAAGCGCTCCAGACCTAAGCCAGGGGATGCCGTAGGACCAAACCGCTTGGCAAACCGCTGTTCCTCTCAATCCATGTCGGTGCGCGGCTTGACAAAGCAAGACTCACATCAAATGAAGGCTTTCTTTTCAGTTGGGGCTGTGAGCCGCATTCTCGGATGTGCCGAGGCGGACTCTCCACCCACTGAGACGCCATGCAAAGGGCTTGTTGGTCGTCTTGTCTTTAGCCGAGAAATCTTACAACAAAAGAAACAGTAAGCCACTGAAGAAACGGCAGCGTCCAACTTCACAGCTGCCACTAAGATGTCAGGCCAACCCCTTCATCAGAGTACTAGTACAGTAGCCATACGTTTGGCTCTTGAGTGAAGTCAAATGCAAACTCTTTGCACGAAGGCAACGGTTCAAGGCTTAGCATGGAGAGACCTAAAGAAGTTGACTAAGGGTTGCTGGCAAGATATGCAGCCTGCATTTTTCAACTTACTGCTACCTTGAACACAAACGAAAGCGGGATTGCCTTAGCAGTTGCGGCTTTTCCAGGGTACTCTCTTGTGCGGTGGTATGGACGGCGCGACTTCCACACTCGTCCATGCAAAAGAAACCGTTCAAAGCAACTTCAAGTAATCACAACAAACAAAGATCAACTCTACTCAAGCAACCCTTTGACCATAGGGTCATGCACAATCGGGAGTCCTGGTTGCTTCAATTCGGTCAATATGCATAAGCAAACCCAAGCCAACATAACCAAACAGCACAAAAATGCGAGATGTTCATGCGAGGCGACATGTTCTCATGTTCAAAACGCTGCCGTGCCCAGGGAAGTGAATTCGCTGCATGCGAAGCTGGATAGATTTCTGGAGCAAATCTCCCGATTCATAGCTCTGCTATGAGTTCAAGTCACAATCCTTACAAATCTGACGACCCCTCGTGGCGACCGATGTCAGCGACCCCATTCATTGTTCTGCACGGATGCTGAGGGCGGAACAGCGGGCCGTGAGCGTGAGCCTGTTGCAGGCGGATTTGCATCGGAACTCAGCCGGACTTGAGGCTCTAGGCTTTTCGCAGTGGCCCCACAAACCTGCTGTTCTGGCTATGAAAGGCGTGGCACCCCATTCAAAAGAGAGAAACACAATCAAGGGGACACCCTGAACAGAAAAGAAAGCACGGCAGCATCTCTTCTGAAAAGGACAGAACAGAAGGAGTCCCTGCACCTTCTGCAACACGGGCATGGGAATTGTTTATCACTTGAGTATCTCGCCATTTGTCTGAGGGTTTGTGTGGGACATGGAGGGTCTCAATTTTTGATGTCCGCTTTCAGGAACACGTTTTGGTGTTAATGGTTCAAGAGGCAAACACGCTACAAAATAAGACAATGTTCACCCGCCTGTTAGGCTGGAGCTGCCACACTTGGTCATGGCCTCGCAGCTTAGAGCTTGGCTCAAGATAATCTGCCGAGTCTGCAACGAATCTTACAGAGTTGCATCAGTGAAAGGGCCTTGCCGAACTGCCTCTTGGCTTCCAACTGGACAGCAAATATAGAACACACGCCGGGTCTTTGCTGGGCAAGAAATTGGGTCGCTCTCTCAGTTACAAAACCTCAAGGAGGGGAACATGGAACGGAAGATCCTTCAGTGCAGGCATACTTCAAATAGAATCAGATGTGTCAACCAAGGAGCACTGGCTTGTCAGACATCATAAATATTGCCTGCCCCATTCTGGGGAACCTGGATGCATAAATCAAACTTCCCCCTTGCCTTGTGATAGGCCAAGGGCAAAGCTCTAATGCAGGCCAGCCCGCCCCCTAGCTGCATTCACAGTTCGCTGGCTTTCTAAGCACATCTCTTCCTTTGGTCCTCTCCACTGTCAGACAGCGTCTGAGCAATGCACCCACTTTTAGTCACCAACTTTTAGTCACCTGGACCAACCCGAGAATCAATTCCGCAAGGACTTTCTAGGACAATGACAAAGGCCAAAACACAAAAACAAAAGGTCAACAAGTCTGCTGACAACCGGGTCCAAGGTGGCAACGACACATTGACTAGCACCTTGCTCACACATTCATACGAAAGAGTTGATTTGTGCTGTTTTAACCGGCATGTTTGGCCTTTGTTTGGTGAGGTCGCAGCTGAAAAATCCTGCTGAGGTCCCGGCAGCTGAAAAGTAGGACAACACGTCCTTTTTTTCTTGTGTCAAAGATGTAGTTTGGGCCTTGGCAAGGACAGTCCTTTGCATTCAACTCGCTCGCATTTGAAAACTACTTGTTCCCCCAAGAGGACATGGGAAAATGGGCGAGTCCCCGCCCTGTTTGTGGGATATTTGGTGAGCGCCCCATTGTCCCTCCCAAGCAGACCGTCTGACAGAACCTGAGGTGTGCGGAAAATCCGCTGCAAGGCTCAGGCAGCGGCTTTTTCAAGCGAACTTGGGGCGGAGATCGCTGGGTTGAGCCAATTCAGCAGCCGTACGCGCGTTTCATATTGGTTCAACGGCAAACCAAAAAGAACACCATAATTTTAAGGAGCAAGAGGTCTGTGCATAGATGCTCTGTGCTTGCACACCCTGCATTAAGGATATATCAAGCCATCTGACGAGAAAACACCAATCTCGATCGCAAACACCCAGGCAGCAACAAGTACGCAAATCCCGAACACGCTAGGCGAATACGTTTGTTGCTTTATCATTTCTCTGAAATATTCACTTGAACTTCAAAGGACGTTCGGTGGGTTCACCGGCGGAGTGGGCTAACACAGGTGTGCTTTTTCATCTCGGGGGATCCTTTGATGTCCACCAAACATCCCGTCCTTGGACCGTGGCCGAGGGGCAGCTGAAGGTGTGTCCTGCCAAGAAGAGTTTTTCCGCAGGCCACATACCTCCTGGCAAAACTGGCATGCGAAAAAAAAAAAAAAAAATCTAGACGAAGCTCCTCTTTGCGGGCCGAATGTTCGTTTGCAGCGGAGTACTGACAACTTGACAACGGCCCTGACTCGGGCTTGGCCGTGTTGGTAGCATTCAGGCAGAACAAAACAACAGGCGCGTCCATGTTCACGTTTCTCAAGGTGGCTTTTCGTGTGGACATTGTGGCCACAGGTGTTGGGCTCCCCTGAAATGAGGCAGGTCCTTTGACACCTTCTTTGCTTCAGCTGCTTTTGCTTTGGCCTGGCCGCGCGAACTCCAGCTACCAGGTTGCCCGCCGCGCGGCCTGTCCCCGCCTGAGCTTTCTGTCGCTCCTCGCGGGCAGGGTTAAGGGCAACCGGCAGTGGCGCTAGAACTTGCCAAGAGGGCCACAAATGCTAATCTGACTGTTCCAATGCTGCAAGGCAGTGGAGGTGACGAAACTCACCCCAACATGCTCAGGGACATGCCTGGCCTACATTGGCGGACTCTGGTCCTTTGTTTAGGATCCTTGACTCCAATCCCGCAGTCGGAAAGCATACCCGCCGGCCGGCGCACAGCCTAGCCTCCGCCATTGGCACCCGGTGGCTTGGCAGTCCATCCAAGAGAGTGACGTCTTCAGACATGACCCGAATTGCAAATAGATCTAAATGGCTGTGGGTCGAAAAGAGGTACCCAAAATGGAACCCTGGTAAGTGACCCAAATGGTTGGTCAAAACCCGCACGAAACTTTGGGAACTTCAATGACCAACGTCCAACTTCATCCTGCTGCGCGTGCAGCTGCCGCAGCAGGAAGTTCTCCGCCTGACAAGGCCCTTACGAGATCCTCCCGCGGCCTTGTCCATCCAGGGAAATTCATAAAACCCATGAGGCAAACAGGACGATTTTGGCCCTCCACCAAAGTTAACTTTAGTGAGCCCATGAAGGAATCACAGTCAACCATCTTCTTTGGTTGGGTTTCATATCACCCCGTCCCCAAATGAGACGATAGCAGCTCCCCTCTCGCCAAGGCTCTATAAGAGGCTTGCAAAAGGGAATGCGTGCCCTTGACCCCAGTCTAGATCTGATCAACCCAAAGGTACATAATTTTGTGGTCAAGAACAATTCGGAAACACGCTCTATACGAAATGATTGCCTGTACTACTTTGTGCCTGCGCCTCTCTCGTTCGTGATAGTAGACTTTCTGATATGATGCCCTGCTTGCAGCTTTGCATTGAGCAACAAGCTGGATGAACGTAGCATCCTCATTTCTGGCAAGGTGGACTCCATGTGCAAAAGCAAATGCTCAGGTTTTGAAAAGTTCGCAAACCGACCATTATGTTTCTGACGTCATTCAACACGTCGTGCATTTCAGGCCATACCGGCGGCCATACCCCCGCAAGGCGCATAGTGCACAGCTCAACCAAGCGCGCTGCATAGCGCCCTCCAGAAATTATTGCACTTGGCACTCACGAAGGAACAGGTCGGGTTGGTCCCTTGGGATCTGAGGGTGGGCATACCTGGCGTGTGGCCTGACATGGCCTGACTGCCCGAGTGATTGGCTGGCAGTCGGTCAGCATCCCACCTGCAGGACACGCTGCTGCTTTGCGGTGAATAAGTCTATGGCTGCCAGCACGGCGTTGTACCTTGGCATCGCGCTCAAACATCGCCTGCCATCTGGGAATATGTCCAAAATGGCTCCTCGAAGATGGTTCCTCGTGGTTTCCGACGGCCTCATGGCTTCCTTTCTGCCGACCGAAACGGGTTCCATGCATACCGCAATTTCCGCATTTGCGTGGTCCGTCCTGTCGGGCTGTCGGGCCCCGGGCGTGCGCACGGCATCACCAGGGTTCACGTCCGCAACGAAGGCGCGGCCTTCCTTGCGGGTGAGAACCTGGCACTTGAAGTCAAGCAGCGATGTGACCATCTACCCTGAAGGAAAACCAAAGGTGAATTTGGACAAGTTAGGAAGAGATCTGGTAGGGGACAGGACAAAAGAGCCCCAGCAGAATGGGACCTCAAGGAAGCCCGCAAGAAGATCATGTTCCACGATGTCTTCTGAATGTGAGCTTCAGCTATCATGTTGCGGGAAGGGTTTAGATTTCCTTTTGCTTTGCCCACCACGTTAACGAAGGTGCGCAGTTCAAAGCGGCGGGGAACTAAACAGACTATACGGTACAAATACATTGAGATACATTGAGTTTGATAGGCGGTGGAAGCCGGAGTGAGGCGGCAGCTTGGAGGTCTCTGTAAGCCAAAGAAGCAAACCTTTGCTGGCACATGCTACATAGGGAGAGACTTGTTGGCTTTACTTCCCCCCAATGCAGCGGTGCCCGGGCAGCTTGAGAGCACTAGTCCCTGTGAATGCCGGGAAATACCCACTACAAGTTCCCCAGTTCCATTTCTTTACCTAGTGCCATTCAGACTCAGCCAAGCAGTGAGGACAGACCAGGCTGGTGATGACTCATGGACCGCTTTAACCATTCCAGGTCCTTGTCACTCACACAGGATACCCTCCGAAAAGAGAAAGTTGGTTCGATGGGTGTCCCTTTAAACAACCACTTAAGGAGACCCACAAATTCGCGGACTATTTACTTCTGCCCATTCACTTCCACAAAACCCGCCGCCTCATCGCTTTTTCCGAGCTAGGGAAAACCGCCACTTGCCAGGGCTGTGCCCCAGGGTCAAGAGGTTGGCCACACAGGCGGCCTCTTGCTGAAAACCATTGTGCACGCGCATCCAGACGGAAAAAACCCTGTGAGAAAGGGCAAGGTCACCGAGCTATCCAGAGGCTCCCAGGCAAGAAACGCCCTCCCATCTCTCACGACTGGCACCCAGCGCCCAGCCCTTTCCAACTGAATTGCCGCAATGGCTGAAAGTTGGCTCAAGCTTCGGCACGTAGAAAGGTGCAACATACGAATACTCTGGGTACTTAATCGTTGGAAGCTGGTCAACTCTCATGTAGTCTTGCCTGAGCATTTCCGCATGTCTCAGTAGACAACACCATTAAGGTCTGACCACTGCTTGAAGACGGCCTCACATTCCTTAGCTGCGATCATTGTGCACCCTGTGCCAAAATGATCTTCAAGCTGGTGCTTGAAGGGGGAAGCGACAATTTGCGGACGTCCGACACATCAGGAAGCACAAATATACTCCAGACAACTGAACTGATCTTTAGCGGCTATTGAACTCAGCGGTGTCAGTCCAGAAAAAATAAGGAGAGCATCTTTATTAAGGTCAAGGTCAAAGGCTACTGCCGCCAAAGCTCTTGCGCAGCGACTCCAGGAATTACTTGCGTCACATAAGCTCCTCCGCTTTCTGTCTCCAGAAGGTCCTCGCATGTACTCAGCATCCAAAGAGCGCGGCCTTTTCAGAATCTGAGGAATGCCAGCCCTACCACACCAGGTGCGTGACAGTCAATGTGATCCGCAAAGCTTAGATCGTTGGCATCAGAGCACCCAACGTGTCCACACAAAGGGCGTTCCGCAACCCTCATCTGTGAAGCTTCCAAAGCTTCTAGAGTTCAAGTTCAACACATCCGGTCTTGACCGAGTACTCAGAGCGGCTGAAGTGCAACCAGATTAGATAAGCTTCAACATCGTGAACAACAAGGCAGCCCTTGGGTGATGCAACGCAAACACGGAACCATGCTTCAACACTGCAACTTCTTCCGACTCAACCTCATGCGTGAGCATGACCCCAATTTGTCCTTCAGGTGCAGGTATCCCTCCTGGACAAATGGAGTCTTGGTCAGGGGTGTGGAATCCGCTGACTGGCTCAAGGTGAAACTGCCCAACATCCAGCACATTCTTGAGCATGACATTTCCCTCATCTTCATTGCACTCGCTACCCTTCCCAAAAAGTGTCCTCAAAGCCGCAGTGAGCAACCTTGGCTCGCATCAATCAAGTACTTGGACAATAATGCTCTTCGTATGTTTTTTTTCAGTGCAACATGAAGCCTCGCATGTATGCCATTGTCATCCTGCAACGCCACCAGCTCTTCTACAATCCGGGAGGCAAATTGCTGTGTAACGCCGCAGTACACTCGGGAGATGCGCGACCACAAAATGGCACCTTGGCAGCGACGCCTTCAACGAAACATGCATGGGAAACAAGTGCCTACGCAAAACACATTGCTGGTCAAACATACTTGCGCTAGAGCCGGTAGAGGCATGATGCTTGCAACGAGAACGCTGAACATTTCTTACAAACTAAACTGTGGATGCGAGTCAGTACCCTCACTGTTTTGATCGCCATTCGGAAAGGCCGGCTAAAAGGGGCTGGAAAATGGCATCCTGAGACAGGTCCGAATCCTGGCCTGGCAAGCGAGTTTGGTGGCAGCCACAACTGGGCGCCAGGCCCAAAGACATCAGGTCCGGATGGGCCGTGGTGTACAAATCGCAACCCTCCAAGTTATACCTTGGTGCTCGGATGACCCCACTGAAGCCTAGGCTCGCGATAAGTCCCGCGTTTTGCGGGTTGTATGTAGAGTAACTCTACACTTGCGGGACTACTTAAGCTGGTCATCCATGTAAGACACAGCTTGAGGAAGCTGCTTGTGCGCAGAACCCTCCCTCTGCAGCACATCCAGCAGAAATAAGAAAATGGTGTGGGGAATGAGGCTGGGTGCATTAAGTGACATCCTGAAAATTGCCCTCTAAATGAAAGAACCCCCAAAAGCAGTCTTGAGAAACCCTCACAATGCAACCACTTTAATGGACCCAGCCTGCTGCAAGCTAGGGGCGAGCCAATGTGAGCTGTCGCCGCGCGGATGGCCTTGACTTCTGCTGTGGCTGTCGCATCTCGATCTGAGAGCACCTCAATGCCGAAACCATGATCGGGTGCTGGGTTTATAGTTGCTTGTGGGATTTCAGGAATGGTTCGCGATTTGTCATGTGATGCAAGTTTCAACACCGCGTGCTGCAATATTTTTGAGGCGTGCTGTCGAGGGCCTTGATCCTTGTCTTGCTCCTTGACAACCCGGCTTGGCTCCAATTAAACGCCTACGCCCACATTCCTTGTCATACAAATCTTCCCACATCTACGAATGGCACCGCCCAACTTTCGAGAAGAGTGGCGCAGTTGCAGGACTCGGCGATCACCTCAGATTTCTGCAGAAGATTGTTGACATCAGCGAGAAGACCACTCACGTGTCACCAGCTTGCTGTCTTGTCAACACCTTGAGTGTGAAAATTGAATTGGGGGATCCTTGGGTGGACACCATGTGCTGGGGATGTATGTCCACCTTAAGATTGAAAGCCCCCCTTGAGGCCGAGCCACCACGCCGTCCTTGACAATGACCGCACCAAAGCACTCCCGCTCCTTCCAGGCAGACCCGATGAACATGTCTGAAAGATCACTGGTAGTTTGCTTCCCTTTCGGGATGCAAAGCAACGCAAAGGTCCCAAGTTGCCAGTTGCGTGGGATCTGAGCTATATAGAGCCAAACTGCGCTAGGGCGTGGCATATACTTGCTGAATCCGGGCACGGGGGCTGTGCTGAATTGCACCGTTGTGAGTTCAATGATAGCCAGAGTCAAGGGCAACAAAGAGTCACAATCTCAAAGAAAACAACAAATTCATTGCATCTGCATTTGACTACGACTTTGCCCATGGAGAGTCTGAAAGAAGAACCGGTTGACAAGCATCCACTAATGCAGCTCGCAGCTGGCATTGTACTTTGAAATATAAATTATGTTTGGCTTATTTCTCTATCAAACTCTATTCAAATTCAGACAGACATCGAGTAGAAGAGTAAACAGTGATACAGATATTTCAGAGGTCTGGAATTCGTGTTGTTACCTAGCCCCTAGCCCATATCGCAAACAAACAGATTGCAACTTGCATAGAATCTGCAGGCACCGGTACCCCGGCTTTCCGTTTTTCCAAGCTGGTTTGCAGAGTGACGGATTACTTGTCATTGGTCTGGCAGGCAGTACCAGGATGAGCTCAGGGTAGATTTGCATCTGGGTTTGTTTTGGGGTTGCTGCAGGATGGACTTGAGCAGGGGATTGCAGAATTTGGCTTGAAGGCGAATCTAAGGGTCGGCTGCTTCTTTGATTCCTTGGCTCCCTGCGTCTGTCCTTGGCTCCCTCCTTTCCGCCGTGTAGGGCTCTTGCTTGCTTTGTTTGCCTGTTTGCTCGCTTGCCTGCCCGCTTGCTTGCCAGCCAGTGCACTGGTTGGGGAAGCGCCGGCGCAAAAGCGAACTTGTTTTGACTATCGACTCTCGACATCTGTTGCTCAGTGGATCCAGCAGGATACATGCACATGATCGAATGCTTGATGTCAGCTGGAAGAGCAGTTGTCGCTGCGTTGCCATGCTGGCACAGAAGCACACGGAACTCGGATTGTTTTGAGACTCCGACTAATTCCCATCCTAAGCCACAGCCCTGGACAAGAAATAGACTGGTACACTAGTCGGCTTGACGTCATAATCGACTGTCTCCATCCATCCCGAAAAGCTGGCATTGCCGTCTCAGGGACCCGAAACCAGGCAAACACACCTTCATGTACATAATATCTTTATAACAGGGCGGGTTACCCGCTACGAGCATTTCACCTTCAGCACTGCCTCTCTCGGACTTTAGGCTCCTTTGCAAGGCCGGCCTTTGCGCCGCGGGAAGCAACTGCCATTGCCTGCGAGATCCATTCGGCGGGGTGGCAGTTCAAATTGGGGCCTTTGTCATTGGTGTTCAAAGGCCTCCTCAAAGGGAAGGAGTGTTTTCGGGTCCAACCTGATGTTTGAAAACACTCCAATGAAGACCAACTATTGTCATATATTGTCATTTTCGGCATCTTGTGTGGTGCAAAAGGGTGGGGACGAGCAAAGGCGGAGGGAGGGAATTCCCAGCTCTGTTGTTGCAGACTAACATGGAGCACTGCTTCTGTGGCCTTAG